CAAAGGAGGCAAGCGAGGTTATACGAGCAAAAAAAAAAACATCAATTTTGGATAGAAAAGAAGTTGAAAGCTCACCTCCGAACGATGCAGCGGCAGCCTCAACCTCATCAGACACCTGTGCTGCAGATTTCCCTTTGGGAACCCTGGATTTCTTGGGAGACATGATGAAATCAACCTAAGAACAAGGAAAATTAGGGTTTAGAGATGAGATCTCGAATTAAATAGCAAAGCAAACATAAAATACAAGAGATGGGCTCGGTTTTACCAGAGGATAGAAGGAATCGAACTCGAAAGATGAGGAAATTGAAGAAAAGGCTCAGAACCCTAGATCTCAAAACCCTAGATCTTGTTCGAGCAAGAAATAACCCAAATATGAAGAGGTGGAGAGGGGAAAAGCCAGAAGATCCTTTTATAGGGTGTTTGAAGAGGTTTCGAACTCAAAAGAGCGGGGAAAAGTGACCCGAAGAAGCCCAACATCAAGTTTATAACTTGACTGGCCGAAGCGCTGCGCGGCACTCGACACTGTCGCGCTCGAGCGCGACAGTCTATGTTGCCGCGCTGCGCGACAATCTATGTCTACGTGCTCAAGACGGGCGAGCAGTAGAAGCTGCTGCGGGCAGTTCATTCTGACGACGTTGCGCCGAGGCAGCTGCGCATACACAATAATCACCTTGGGTGTTTTGAACACGTACATCTCCCTCTGTATTTGGAATATATCCTCGCGGACACTCGCGATGTAGTATATGAGTAAACTGCATCTCCTTGAACCTCCCAACGGGTATATGAGGTTAAACTGTTTCCCGAACACTCCAATAGAGCATATGAGTATAAACTATTTCTCCATTTTTCAACAACAGGTCTGATTCAAGACTTCGACAATGGCCACGCGATAAACGCAGTACCGGAGGAATTTTAGCTATTCTACAAAGCACTGAGTAGACTAAAAGATAAAGAAGTCAAGGATTGAAGCCGTTCACAAATCATTTTTACGCGAATTCTTCAACAAAGCACTGGAGAAATTGCAAGGAAAGCTTATCATATCCAAAGTGTCCCAGACTCCTCTCTAAAAAAATGATGAGTCTGAGATACTTTGGAGGAGGTATCTGTAGGCGTCGAAAAATACTTGCAGGCATCTAAATACCACTCAAAACAATATGGGAGAACAATTTGCACGTCATCAGGCAACACAAGGTGGCGCGGCAGCCCATGGCGTCGCGGCTAAGGCGCGACAGCATATAGTGCCGCGGCTAAGGCGCGACAGCACATAGTGCCGCGGCTAAGGCGCGGCAACCTAGGGTGCCGCGGCTATGTTAAAGGAGTGCTGTGGCGGTTACAAGGCAGTTATATGATGATTTTTTGAGGCCTACGTGACAGCATATCAGACTCTTTGGCCGCGGCAGCCTATACTGCCGCGCCAATAGCCGCGGCAGTGTAGACTGCAGCGGCCAAAGAGAAAACACTCAGTCAGTTATCTTGCCCCCGTTTCAACTGTAGTGCACTGATACCCCTATAAATACCTCCCTAAGCACGAAATAAAGGACAGAGAGCATTTTGGAGCAGAAGAGGCTTGAGCTTTCAGTGATTTTGAAGAAGAGAGAGAACTTTCACCCTTTGACAAGCATCATTCGGTGATTCCTAGAGATCTAAGCTCAGACTTGATCTTTGGAAGAACGGACATCTTACATCGATAAGATATTCGTTTTCAAATCTTAACTTCGATAAACGAAGGAGAGATCCCTAAGCACATTCACGATATTTGAATCGGTGGTCAACGAGCCAAAGCACTCACGGCACAGGCAAAGTCCCACAAAAACAGTAGTTGATAAACAACTCCTGTGTTATTTTCTCGAGAGTTGTATTTTCTTTTATTTTCATTGTAATTTCTTGTAAACACATCAAAGTTTAATGGAATCTGTAATGGAAACGACTTTCGCTGAAAACAATATGTCCCAACCTATTGTGCCACATATCTGCACTTTCCTTATCAGCTACAATTGTGAGGGTGTCACTCGCATGTGAAGTTAAGTAGAGAGTTATGATTTTATTACCACAAGCAACCACCATAGTACCATTGGAGAGTTTCCATAAATCCTCGGTAAATGTCGAAACATAGCTTTCCGCTCTAAGCTAGCTATCTGAAACAAGATTCCTTTTCAGCTTCGGTACATGTCTGACATTCTTCAGAGACCACTTAAAACCCTTCATCTGAATCTGTACATCGCCTCTTCCCACAATACCACAAGGCTCGTTATCTCCCAAGTACACTTTCCAAAAGTCTCCTACTATATAGTTCTGAAAAAGCTTCCTGTTAGCAGTGACGTGGCATGAGGCTCCCGAATCAATATCTCATGAATCGGTGTCACTATCCATAGCAAGGATCAATGCATCTTGCACAATATGAGCCTCCTGCTCATTTGTATACTTCTTTAGCGCTTTGCAGACTAAAGACATATGTCCCTCCTGACCGCAGTTCCAATACTTTCCTTTGATAGGTCTCACCTTCAACTTCGGCCTCTTCTTCTTCGATTTTGACCTCTTTCTATTCTGGTTTCCCTTGTTCTGACTTTAGCCTCTCTGGTCAAAATTTAGGACTGAACCTGAACCCTCTGATTCGGCCGACTTTCTTCTAACCTCCTCGGATAGAATCATACTAATAACCTCGCTCAGCTTCAACTTCTCCTTTCCTGTCGAGTTGCTAATTACGATCATGCAACCTGCCCAGCTATCCGGCAACTTCGATAGTATCAGTAGGGCTTGTACTTCATCATCAAACATGATGTCGACTGAGATGAGTTGATCAACAATCGTGTTGAACTCGCTGAGATGTAATGTGAATGAGTATCCTTCTGCCATCTTGAGATTGAAGGGCGTATTGACGAGATGCACCTTGTTTGCAGCTGACGGTTGCTTGTACATCTTTACGAGCATTTCCATAAGCCCCACCATCGTCTTCTCCTTCAATATGTTGTGGGTGACTGATTTTGCGAGCGACAATTGGATCTGTCCTAAAGCCTTCTGATCCAGTATTTCCCAGTCCTTGTCTGTCTCCTCCTTCTTCTTTTCCTTTGCTTTTTCCATCAGCGGACGATAAAGATCTTTCTGGTACAGATAGTCCTCTATCTGCGACTTCTAGTAGACGAAGCCTGATCCGTCAAACGTCTCAATCTTCAATTTGCTTTCTTCTGTCATAGCTCTCACACGACCTTTGCCGAACGAAGCTCCAATACCAGTCGTTGGTGTTAATCTATCGACAACCCATGCCCTCCGGATCTTGTGACGAACAAATAGCAAGTAAGAACTCACGGCTAAACAAAAAAAGCTTGCAGGAAAGAACAATAAAGAAGAGAACATAATATTTAACGAGGTTCGGCAAACGTGCTTACGTCCTCGGGAGCCACACCAGAAATTTTCTTGATTATTGAAGAAGATTACAATGCCTGCAAACGACTATCACTCTCTGAGATCTCTCTCTCAAAGTGTTCTCTTCTTTATTGTTCTTCCCTGCAAGTTTTTTTTTTGTTTTGTCGTGAGTTCTTGCTTGCTATTTGTTCGTCACAAGATCCGGAGGGCACGGGTTGTCGATAGATTAACCCCAACATGTTAGGGTTGCTCACCTAACCTTGACATCAATTCAGGGTTAACACGTGGGGTTTGACTTAAAGGATGAGTTTACAAATATACATGTAGTATTTTACGAAAGACATGAATGCGAATGCAATTTTTGTAGGCCCCGTTTGGCAAAGGGTTAATGAAGAGGGGTTAAAGAAAATGATTAATGTACTTAGCACATTTAATAACCCGAAGGACTAAATTATTAACCCGTTAAATAAGTTTTATTTTAGCCCTTATGATCAGTTTTAGTGTTTGGGAATAACAATAATTTTGACTATTTTCTTTATAATTAGAAGGGTTAACTCTTATTCCATCTAAATAAGAGTATTAGTAAACCCCTCATTTTGAGGGGTTAACTCATTTTAACCCCTCTAGAGGGGTTAACTTAACCTTTCTATATTTTTTATGTTTGGCAAATTATGGAGGGTTAACTCATTTTAATCCTTATATAGATTTGTTGTGTTTGTCAGGTTAAAAAGAGGTTAAGTCTCCTTAACCCCTCACTTAACCCTTTGCCAAACGGTACCGTAGAGGGCGTAGCCGCGTATACTAGGGGTGAGCACGGTTCGGTTCGGGTCGGTTTTTACTAAAATTTGAACAACCGAACCGAACCACCTACAATTCAAAACCGAACCGAACCATTGCAAATCGGTTCGGTTCGGTTCGGTTCGGTTTGTTCGGTTTTAACTTCATCAAGTATAACTTCACTTTAATTTATCTTTTATATATTCTTATTACCCTATGCCAGCATGTATTTATTTTTTAACTTCACTTTAATTTATTATTCTTGCTCATGTATGTATACTGTTTTTAAGTGAAGTAACTTGTCCTTTTGGATTAAATACTAGACTCTAACGTTGTAATTTTTTAGTAACGGACTTGCTTTGTCTTTGGGTAAACGGGTAGGGTTTGAGGCAAGGGAATATATTCGGTTGGTTCGGGTCGGTTCGGTTTGAAAAATTGTCAACCCGACCCGAACCGTCTTACTCATAAAACCGCTTTTTTCGGGTCGGTTCGGGTCAGTTCGGTCGGTTTTTTCGGTTTGAACCGAACCGTGCTCACCCCTAGCGTATACACACGAAAAGATTCTAGAAGGAGAAATAATAAGGTAAATTGTGGGTGAGGTTCCGGCGCGAGCAAGGGGGTTATTATTCTCAGAAAAACGACGGGAGCACGTGCTCCGGATTTCTGTGGGGCCCACCAT